CTGCCAAACACGCGCGCGCACTTGGTTGGGCGCCAGAACCTCGACAAACTCCACGTTGGTCTTGTCGGGGAAGATTGGGTGCGACTCGATCAGCTGGCCGTAGAAGTTCATCGGGAAGTCCTCCACATTCTCCAGGTGGACTACGCAGTGAGGGTTGCCCATGCTGACCAACGTCGAGTTGATCGAATGGCCTTTGAATGGTATCAGCTTGCAGTAGTCCTCGCGGTTGGACCTTGTTGAGAGCAGGCGACTGCCTGATGGTGATGGTGATGGTGATGATGTTGAGGTTGCGACGCCTTGGCCAGTGTGTTTGCCAAAGGTTGTGGATGTAGTCGATGTCATTGTTGGTCGCTGAGTAGTTTGATGGGATGGATGTGATTGATTGATCAGAGCTGGGAATGGTGACACTATATTTACACTGTTGTTGTTGTTGTTGTTGTTTGTTGTCTGTTGTTGTTTGATTATCTACATTGGGCTCGAGTCCTGGGATACTGATTGGGTCCACTGTGGTAACCATCTGTGGCTTGCCCATACACACCTTAACCCAGAGTGTACGCGAGTTGTTCTGTGGATGGCTGGGCAGTGGACAGCACTGCAGTACTCCGGCCACGGTCTTGACCGTCAAACAGATGGGATTGAACTGATTGTACGGTGACTGTGTTTGGAGACGTGGCTGCTGGTCAGTCTTTGTAAAGAATGGCACAAGGTGCTGTTGTAGGTGGGCCTGGCCATTGGATGCGCCGCCCGTCAGAGGACTGGCTGGCGCGCCAGATGAGGGCGGGGAGTTGTAGTGATGGTTCTCAACGATGTGGCTCGAGCTACCAGCGTTGTTATACGGGCGCACTTGGTAATCAATGATGAATTTGGTGAGACATCGTATGCCGTTGCCACATATCTCTGCCATGCTGCCATCCGCGTTGAATATCAGCATCTGGTACTGCGCCGCCGTGACGTTGGAGGGTGGCGGTGTCACGACCAACATGTGATTGGCGCCCACGCCTGTTGTGCGATCACATAGGTAGCGAGCGATAAGTTGGAGCTCGGCCAGCGAAGGCACCACATTCTGGCCGGTGATCTCGTTGCGCAGACTGTCAATGTGGAAGATGACAAAGTCGTTGCCACAGCCGTGCATCTTGCAAAAGTGCAGCACCAATGGCGGGTCATCCTGCGCGGCAGGGGTGGCATCGCGGCCGCCAGCCAACGATGTGTTGGCCAAGTTGTGCCTGCTATTCAGGTCGATGTAGTTGGCAGCCGTGCCTGATGTTGTGTTGTTACTGCTGCCGCGGCTATAGTGCTTTGCAAAGTCTGGCGTCTCAATCAGTGTGTAGTTATAGTCGATCATTGGCACGGCAGCATTGTCATCATCGAACGGCACCATCATTGTGACTTGATGATCGTTGGTAGAATTGGTGTATAGTGTTTGGACGTTATGATGGCCACTGCCGTTGTCATCATACTCCTCGTCCAAGTACTCGTCGTCATCATCATACTCCTCGTCGTCGTCATCAAACTGGAGATCATGATGATCAGCCACCGCTGTATTTATATTGTGATCCAAGTCCATCTTCCTCGGCTAAGTGACCTTGTTCAGTACAGTAGTATTCGCCTCTTCTGGATGTGTTACCAAATATAGTGATGATGGCCAAATATGGTTATGGTTACCAAGTTTGGGTTTGTGTGTTGGATTAATTTAGTGTTGAATGATTGAGTGAGTGTGAATGATGATGAGGTAGGAATGAGGAAGTCCAATCAGTATGTAATAGAGCGAAAGAGAGGAATATAGAGATAATGTAATTATATATAAGAGATAAAGAGTATGAATGTTTTAGATTGATAGTTTAATAGTTTAGATAAATAGTTAGGTACTGTACCAAATATCAACCATCATCGAAACGGGTGATGAGAGTGTGGCCGTGGACTTGATCGGACCCATATCATCTCCTCTTCCTCCTCCTTCAACTACCACTACCATCATCAAAAAAAGAGAAGAGAGTCTCATACGTCAATAGAGTGGACCCAAATGTGGTGCCGTTTGCCCATTGCCTATTGATGGCCCACCAACACAGCCAGAGAGGTATCAATATCGCAACGAATCCATGTTTGAAAAAAAGATAACTTTACATGTGATATTTTGACACCAAAAAATGTTTAAACTCTTTAAAAAATGAGGCCATTATGAGGAGATATTGAAATGTAGAGAGGAGGAAGGAAAGGAAACATCATAATTATTCATTCATTGGTCACCTGTCTGCCCAGGGATCCGATTGTTGTGATAAACAAAGAATTAGGAAAGGATAAACTGTTGCTTTCTTGCTCGTGATTGTGATCCGTTCCAACTCCTAAAAAAAAACAAAACAAAAACAAAACCAAACATAAAAAAAAACAATGTATGTGTCTAAAAGTCCAACACAACACTTCACCGATACCCACCACACCACTGACTTGGTCCTACCTCTGAGCCTTTGCTCCTCCCATCACTTTCATTCTTTTCCCCATGACACACAGGTCAACCCCATTGGGTATCAATTATCTCACACATCACCCCCATCATACACCGCTATTACCCCCTACCTCTACCACAGACGACCATCCAAACAATCATAATTCACCTTGATACACTCACACTCATAAACAACAACAAAACACTCACCCCCTACTATTCACATGGTTTAGTTTGAGTGCACGTTCGTGCTCACCTCCCTCATCCATCCCTTCCATTCCCAGGCACACTCACTCACACCTTTCACATCATTCACATCATTCACCAACAAGTGGATTGCAAGTCTCTTCTCACCCTACCCTACCCTTCATTCATTTCATCCAATCTATCTATCTCTTTCAATCAATCAATCATATATATTAGTTTATAATTATATATATCTCAAAAGTAGTTAACAAAGACTTAGTGTCACATGAGTTTAGAATCAGCTGCAAAGGACATTGCTTCATCCTCTGCTCACAGCCTTTACAGGTTTTCTATATTCTGACATTAAATCAATTATTAATCAATCAATCAACTTTTATTAATTAATTTCATTATTATTATTAGAATGAACAAATTGTCAAATAGTCAACAGCAGATACTTCTGCAACAGCAACAACAACAGCAACAACAGCAACAACAACATAATAATAATATTGGCAGTAATAGCTCACTTTTGCATTTTGATGCGAAACGCAAATATGTAGATTCACTTGTTGAGGACTTGCCTCGTGCTATGAACAACAACAACAGCAGTAGCATCAATAGCATTAGTAATAATAACAGCAACATCAACAATATCAATAACATTACAAATAACAACAATGCAACACATGGCAACATAAACTTACTGAATGATATCAACTTGTTCTCTATGGTTCATAGACCTGTCAATAACAAACAGACAGCAGTGATTGACGCATCTGCTCATTCTAAACCTCATTCATTGGTCAATGCCACATATCAATTGCCACATGCCAATGTCAATGCCAATGCCAATGTCAATGTCAATGCCAATGCTCATAGTTCATCGTTGATCAACAACGGAAACAAACCTTTCAAGCACTTTGCTCATCACTCTGTCGAATCACTTCCATGTGATCCATCTCTTCAACATCATATCAGCCATCACAAGAATAACAACAACAACACAAGTATAAAGAGACCGATTAATGACGTGCTACACAACCTTCCATGCAATGATGCCTCTGATTGTTGCAAGCCACCACAACGTAACACCAACAACAATGGACATGTATCACCCGTAGCACATCACAGTCATGACCATGACGATGAAATAGACGATGATGATGAGCTTGACGACTATGATGACGACGAGCATCATGATGACAGTGACGATGAGTACTCTCCCCATAGAGACCACTCAACCTCGTCCTCCGCCACAGCATCCAATGGTGGTGGGTCAAAGCCCGCCTACCGAGTGGATAGGTCGCTGCTACTTGCCAATGGAAAGGCGTCCGCCGAGGAGGCGGATAGGAGTGGCATGTCGACCGATAACCCCTGCTGTCCCAACTGTAACATACCGGCCGCCCGACGACATGACAAGCGACGTTGGTGGTGCAGAAACTGCACCAAGTCCTTCACACCGTTCCGCAAGGGCAACCGACTGAATGCCAATGGTGACGTCATTGGCAACACAGCCCCACAGTGCGGTCGTTGCCACCAACAGGCATCAAGGAAGCATGACAAACGAAGATGGTGGTGTAAGTCCTGTAAGAAGCCATTCACTCCATGTAAGTACCATCCATCGATTGTTCACTCAATTGTTAAGTATCCAAATCTAACCTTAATACACACAATACTAGCATCTGGATCCAATTCTCATGACCAATACAATGTCTGTGATAACTCACAAATCATATACTTGATGGGAGGAAAGGATGATACATTGTCCGACAAGTATGATGAATGTGAGGAGATTGCTGCTGATGAGAAGCCGGCTGCCGTTCGTACGACTGAGAGTGGAGCATCCAAGTTCAAGTTGTTACTCAATCCTGTTCTAGCCGAGGACGAGGGTGTCAATGGCAATGGTCTGACCATCAATGGCAGCAGCAAGAAGTCAAAGCATAGACATGATATCCTTGACGAGGATATCATGACATTGAACAGTCTTCAACATCTCCATCATTTCCTAAGCAAGGACATTCAATCTTCATCATCATCACAATCATCAACACAACAGCCGTCCAGAGAGAAGGCCATTGTTGTTGACAGCAACAACTCCACAGCAACCTCAACAACATCCTCAATCAGGATGACACCAATCACACCAACACCACCCACACACTGTACAGATACATCACCCAATCAACGACCCAAGTTTAACTCACTGAAGCTGACCAACAACTACGACATCATTGACAATGAGGAAGTCCTCAAAGGAATTTTCCGTAGCTCTCCTCCATCAGTTGTCCATGACATTGGCGGCGCCGCCAGTGGCAGTGGCAGCAACATCAGTCACCGACCCCAACAACAACAACAAACCATTCAAAGGAATCACTCAATCATTGATATGCTTGGACCAACGATGCCTGAGATTCCTGCTCCGAAGCAATCCACCAGCAACACTTCTACGCCCTCTCCATCGTCCTACTCCAACATGATCCATGTGATGCCTCACACATCGCCCAGCCGCTCCAAGACGCCCAGCGAGATAATATTGGACAACTCGATCGAGACACTCATCCAGCTAAATGGCGCTGAGAACTCGCCGCAAGTCATCTTTGAGTGGTTGGAGAGGAGTCCCTACCTGTATCTCTTTGAGAAGATAGTTGGGTCTGAACGTCTGAAGCAACAGATGTCTCTAGTGCAGCCAAGCGGTGCACTGCTCAACAGCACTGCTTTAAGTAGTAACAAACACATTGGCAATGGTAATGGCAATGGCAATGGAAATGGAAGTGGCGGTGGCATTAGAATGCTATCTCCATCAAAATAAATTAACATTATAACAACAATCAACAATCTTGAACCCATCAGACTATGTGATGGATTGGTTAGTCTTCTGATGACTTTATTGTTGTTGGAGTGTGATACTGATGGTATGGGTTGTGTGAGTCGCCTCAACACCGTCAACTTGGCCTTGAGTCCAGGTCACGTCTACATTTGAGAACATTCCACCAATGGTCGAGTTGTTGACGGCTGACACCAGATTATAGGTGGCTGGCTGAGGGATGGTCTCAACAAACTTGACAATCAGGTCTGATTGAATGGATGACACACCATCTAGTACAATTGGAGTGAAGGAGGAGTCTGTCTTGAATGAGTCAATTAACTGCACAGTTGCACCAGCACCAGAGTTGAATGATCCTTGTACGGTTAGACTCTCACCCAATAAATTGGCAATTGATACTGTTCCACCAAGACGATTGAGTGTGCCCTTTACGGTTGTAGACACAGGGTTGAAGGTACCAGCGATCATATTGATCTCACCACTCAAAGTGATACCATTGGTGGATAGTGTGGCATTGTTGGAGACCAGTGAGAGTGATGTATTTGATAGGAATGTGAGATCATCGAGTAGGACAAGTTTGCCAAACAATCTTATACCTCCTTCATGAACAAAGAATGCCTTGGAGTTGATGTTGAGGGTGGCCATCTCTTGGACATTGATTGTTGTGTTGGTCAATGGTGTCCTAACATGATTGATTGTGTTGGTGTTTGTAAAGTTGAGTGTTATGGATTGATTGTATTGGAGAGTGATCAATGATTCAATCGAAGTGTCTTTGACTACAACATTGGAAACGCCTTCAATTCTTAAATTGTTGATAGATGATGATTCCAGTCTAATATTCTTAACATTGTCAATGAGTACAGAACCATCACATTTCATGTTTTTGATTGTAATGAGCTTTGGGTAGTCTTTGACGATGATCTTGCCCAATGATGAGACAGTTGTGATAGTAATTCCTAAGTCACTTTCTTTTGGATCGACTCCAATCAACTTGAGTGTACCATTATTAATATTGAGGAGGTCCACCATTAAAGAGCATTCCATCATTTGGAGATATGATAAAACTCGTCACGGTCAAGGTAGTATCAGCACTCATAAATACAGTGTTGTTGAATAATAGTGTACCAATGGTACAGGTACCATTGAGATACAAGGTGTTCTCATTGTTAACTGATAAGGCTGTATCACTGTCCAACGCATTGATACCAGCATAGATGTAAATTGAATAATCTGATCGAATCATAGAATTGGTAGAGATGGTCGGGGCAGTATGGAACTCTACTGAGATTGGATAGTCTAATGTCTCTCTCCAGTATATCCAAATCCTTTCATTGTTCCTAACTACAACTTTTACTTGAGGTCCAAAGTAGACATTGCAAGAGAGATTCAAATCGAATCCAGTGAGTGATATGATTGATTGACCAGTTACGTTGAAATTTGAAACTTCGACATCAAAGTATCCATCTTTATCCGCGGCCATGATATTGGCATTATGGACACTTACAGACTCTTGAACATAAAGGAATATCTTGGCTGGAATCAGTGTCACACCAGGACCCTTTATAATCAAAGTTTTGAGATTAAAGTCTGGTGATCGAGTTGTCTTCATGTCGATGAATTGAAGTTGGCATTGATCTCGAGACGAGTTTGAGTTGGAGTAGTCAATGACAACGTTTGAGTATTCAGTTGGGGCAACTCCTCCTACCCAATTGACTTTATCAAAAAAGTCACAAGATGCTCCAAGGGAACAATCATTCGATGTATTAAAGTAAAAGGTGTCCTGGTCATCAGCTTTGACTACTAAAGTACATCCTATTAAAATAGTTAATAATTGTATATTCATTATAATATAGTTTGTTTGCTAGTAATGTAATAAATTGATTGGAGAGAGGCGAACCAGTTCCGGAACGGTTTCACTCTTTATAATTTTTGATCATCACTATCAGGGAACTCAGAATGATCAGACACCCATTCACATGACTATTTTTGGAAATTGATTGAAGTATTCAAAAGAAAACTCCTGGGACCTTCAGCTGGCTTTATGGATTGATTGATTGATTGATAAATCGATTTGTTTGGATCAATGAATGAGAGGATGACTCGTTCCATTCTGTCTACTAATATTGGTGTTAAACATAATTTATAACAACCTAATTTATTATATATTTATTATAAATATATTTATTATAATTATTGGAATGAAATACTAATGGTATCGATTGTATTTGTTTGTCTAATTCCTTTAGCTTGATCTGAGTCCATGTCACTTCAACATTTTGGAACATGCCATCAATGATTGACCGCCGTCACCAGTTTATATGTTGCTGGCTGAGGACTGGTCTGGACAAACTTGACGATCAACTCTTTTTGAATGAATGATTGGCCATCAATCGTGATTGGTGTGACAATGTTATCAGGTTTGAATGAGTCAATCAATTCAATTCGTGCACCAACACTCGAGTTGAAGGTGCCAAAGACCATAAGACCCATATAATCAACAGTGTCAATGATTGACACAGCTCCTCCAAGATGATTGAATGTTCCGTTGATTGATGATAACATTCCTGGGTAGAATGTTGAGGGTGAGGGAAACCCACTAAGGATGGATGAACTTCATAAGTTCCTTGTTAGTGAACAATGTTCACGTCACATCTACTTTGTGTTGTTGATTGATGGTGACCAGAATATAGAGTTGAATGGATGGAAGTGAATTTGAAGAATTAATGAATGTTCGAATCAATCAAAACGCTTTAATAGTCCAAAATGAGTGTGATGAGTGATAGAAATATAAATAAAGATGAATACATGTGCAGGTATAATAGATAGAAATGATGTAGATAAACAAGTCTCTCGATTGGGTAATGATGATTCTTCAAAGGACTTGTTCGATTTTTATTTATTTAGTTCGAATTGTTTTTAGTGTGTTTTTGGGTCTCCCACACTTTGCGAAGATATCTTTTTTGAGCTCGATCACCTCCATCAAGACAAGTCTTGTGATTGATTCGAGAGTGTGTAATTGTGTTGTTGTCCACTCCACATTAAGATCATTTGTCATTCATTCCTCGACACCTAGACAATCTCTTTAGTAACTAGGATCACCCTCATACACTCACTTTTCCCCTTATCATCATCATCAACAACAACCTTTCTTTGGCAAAGTGTTTGTGGACTTCGAAGATTGATTGATCACTATCAATTTATCATACATACATATATATACATACATATACAACACATAACATAAATATGGATCAACCATTATTTGGAGAGACCAACAAGCAAACTCAACTCATCCAGTATGCGATCGGTGGAGCAATAGCCGCATTCACTGTTGTAAGTTGAGTGTTTGGACGATCACACACACACACATAAACGATCGAACAAATGACTAATATGGACATATATACAGTTCTCATTGATCGTTGGTATCTTGTTTGGATTGAAGAATAACTCAAGAGACTTCACATTGGTCTTTGTCTTGGCGTTTATATTCATATGTACAGGCGTTCTGATGTGGTGGTGGAGAGACAGAGATGATGCCATCCACCCCAAGTTCAAGTGGCTCTTGATCCTTCTCTTGCTCACGACACTCCTTGCTGGAATTGCCGTCAATGTTTATGCCTGGGAGAAGCCACCCCTGCCCCAGCCAGAATGGTATGTCCTTGGAATTAAGTTTGGTCGCATGACATTCGATTGGTGTCACATGATCACAATCCAATCACGTGATTGTCAACAAAATCAATCAGACCTCTAACCTTTGACAATCGACCAATCAATGTAGCGAGGGATTATATATCACAGACAGAAGAATGTGCATTCCATGGTTCAATGGAACTGCTTGCGAGACAGGATGCTACAACATTGACTTTGGTATCCCATTGATCACCTGTATGAACTGTACCGTCTGTCCACCAGGCAACAACACTGCCGAGGTGGAGATCACTGATTATGCACCAGACATCTACAGCTTCCCATTGCCAGGCTCTGGCGAGAAGCCCAAGATTAAGTCTGCTGACCCATATTAAGTTAATCTATCAATCAATCATAAATGCTTTGTTGTGGAACTTATATATATAATAATAATAATAATAATACTTTAGAGGAGTGACAGACATGTATTTGATCATTTGGTAGGTCTGGACATCCAGATCAACTGGCCGCATGCTCATCAGACGCATTCTGTGTGTGTTGCAGATGACTTTGGACAGTTTGAAGCAACTCGTGTGCTCCAATCTCTCCTTGCTCTGAGGCTAGTTCGAGCCATCCAATCGCTTCATCAACAGCCTCTTGTGTTCCAACATTGAGGTACATCTTGGCAAGTTCGTACTGTGCGCCAGGGTGACCTTGACTCGCCGAATTCAGGTACAAAGAGTGCGCTGTCTCGTAGTTCTGCTCCAGGTGGTGACCTTCGGCATACATGCTGCCCAGGTAGTATTGGGCTTCGGCATGGCCCTGCTCGACAGCCCTGCTCCAGAGTTCGTAGGCGTGTTGGTAGTTGGGTTGCTGTCGTGTGAAGTAGTAGCGTCCAAGATAGAACAATGCGTCGCTGTTGCCGTACTGCGCGGCCGACGACCACAGCAGGATGCCGAGATGTTTCATGGTCGGCAGGTCGTAGAGCAGCGAGCCGAGCGTGGCGGTGGCATGCGTGTCACCCATGAATGCCAGCTTCTTGAGATAATGTGTGGCCTTTGTGAGATTGAAGTAGCCGCCAATGTCGTTGATGATCATGTAGACCAGCTGCTCCATCGAGGATCGCAGTCCCATCGATGCGGCAATGTCAAAGTAGAGGCGGGCTGTGTCCTCATCGATGGCTGGCACGCCCACGCCCTTGAGATGCATCTCGCCCAGCATGCCATAGGCCACGGCCTGTCTGCCCTGCGCTGCGAGCTCAAAATGGTGGCGGGCCTTTGCCATGTCCGGCTTGACAAACACGCCAAAGTAGTACATATTTCCGAGGAACACGTTGGTCAGTCCATGTCGCTCGTCTATCTCGTTAAAGGCTTGGAGGGCAGCCTCGTACAGGCCGTCCAGGTAGTGCTTGCGCGCTTGATCAAATCTCTGTTGGCACTTGGCGGCCAATGCCACGCAGTCTTCTGGCGACATCATCTTTGCCATTATCTCTTTGCGTGCGATGTCCTCCTCATCGATGTTTGTTGCCAGTGAGCCAATGTCCACACAGGCTAGCAGGCGTTTCAAAAGTCTCTCACTCTCGATGCCTGGTGGGGACAGGTCCAAGTGTTCGAGCTGACCAGCCAACAGCAATCCCAATTCATTTCGTGTGATCTTCTTTGATTGGTACTTGCTCGCAGTCGCAGTAGCAGTCGCAGTAGCAGTAGCAGTAGCAGTAGCAGTAGCAGTCGCAGTCGCAGTCGCAGTCGCAGTCGCAGTCACGACTGGTTCAACGGTGGCCGTCAGTGATTGTGTTTCCAGTGGTGTATCGAGTGATGGTGCAATGGCTGTTGTTGCATCCTGTGGTTGTTGTTGTTGTTGACTCCTAATTGCATCGATCGCCTCACTAATGTACATCTCTTCTGACCCAATCATAACAACACTCGGTGATGAATGGCTTGCTACCTCTTCAGTATTCGTCGGCGTCTTTACCGTCTCATACTTTGCTCTTCGTCTCTCTTGCTGTGCTGCCTTTTGACGTCGTCTCATTATCTTGGGCATGAAGTTATTGATAAAGTCGTCGTGCATCTCTTCAAACAAGTTTCTTGAGCCGAGTTGATCGATGGCCTCTTGAAGCATTCTCTGATCATGTTCACGCTGTCTCTGTTTCATCAGATGAGTGCGACATGGATGATCCTCTGGCAATCTAGTAAATAGTGCTCCAATATCAAAGCTTTTCTTTACTTTAACAATGACATTGTCGTCGTCGTTGATATCATTGGTGTTTACTTTGTCATTGTTGTTATTGTTGTCGGTGTTGATGTTGTTGTTGTTGTTGTTGTTGTCGTCATTGTTGATGTTATTGTTGTTGTTGAGTGATATTGTGTCACCTAGGTTGATTGCACCAGCCATGCTATTGTAATGTCGTCTATAATGTTGTTGCTGTTGTTGAGTGATCTTGTGACTATGACTAACATTGACATTGACGCAATTTATACCCCTGTTAGTCAATGCTGACTGACAGACATATCTACGTATTGTTGATGACAACATCATAGATATTAGTAGTATAGTAGTATTGTTTGATCGATTGATTGAATGAGTAAGTGAATGATTCATAGTCGAATCACAATGTCATCACCAACTTCAACTTTCAAGAAAAGACGAATTCCATCTTTTTGGATTTGAATTAAATGGACAATTTTGTATTTGAAGTGATTGATGGTAATAACCATATATTATAGTTTATTACAAATAGATTTATACAATTATATAATATATATAAATAATAATGTATACAAAGGAAGGGATCACGGAAGTTCCTTAGTTGACATGGGCATCAATGTGGGCAGTGAGGATGTTGCATCCAGCGAGGTTGATGTTGGCATCAACGTTGGCATCGACATGGATACCAGAGAGGAGACCACCGACACAGTCAAGGAGACCGGCACTCTTGTTGGACGACTGCATGCCAAAGCTGGAGGCGGAGCTGGCAATCGATGAGTTGGACATTCCCAAGGAGGAAGTTGGAGTCATGTTCTTCAAGGCAGAGATGAGAGTCATTTTTAAGTTTAGTTAAGTTAGTTAATTAAGTTAATTGATTTGATGATTTTAAAATGATCAATTTGGTACAGTATTTATATTAATTGT